GGAGCCGGAGCCGGCTGCTGGTGGAAATAGGGCACCATGTGCGGCGGCGGCGGCGGCTGGGGCGGGTGGTGGTGGTGGTGATGGTGTGCCGCGTGGTGATGATGGTGGTGGTGGTGGTGCGGGTGGTGGGTATGGTGGGGGTGTAGATGGCCTCCGGGCCCCGTCCCGGGCGCGCCCTTGCTGCTTCCTGCGTGCAGGTGAGCGTGGTCTGCGCGCAGCACCTTGAAGCGCTTGCGGCGCCGCAGGAAGCTGCCGTTCTCGAACATATCACCGCAGTCAGGGTGTAGAGCCCAGAAGCTGCCCTTACCCGGTTGGTCCGGCCGCCGCGGGATCTTGATGAAGCAGTCGTTGAAGGAGAGGTTGTGGCGCAGGCTATTTTGCCAGCGCTGCGTGTGCTCGCGGTAGTAGGGGAAACGCTCCATAATGAACTTGTAGATGTCGCTCAGAGGCAGCATCTTCTCAGCCGAGTGCTGGATGGCCATGGCTGTCAGTGAGATGTATGAGTAGGGCGGCTTTTGGTCGCTGTACGAGCTCTTCCCCGGCCGTGGCATCTTCTTAGGCTCCTCCACCTCCTACTGGCCCACAGTGGGCCTCAAGCCTCTCGGTAGCCCGATCCCCAGCCTAAGTGTGCCCTCTAACTCTTTTTCCACCTGTGCAGCCCGGATCGTGAGTCTTTTCAGCTCCCAGAACTCCTTTACTTCGGGTTCTCCTCCTTCTGGGAGCTGCCTGGGTTCCCACGATTGGCTTTTCGGGCCAATGTAGCTCGACGGTACTCACAACTTTTGGTCTCGACGGTCGCAGACAGGCCTGCACATTAGGCAGAGAGGCTCGCCAGCTTTACCTTGGTTTTCTCTGAGTGTTCCCCGGCTCGTGAGCTCTGGAGCGAAAGGCGGTTGAATGAATTTCTTTGTGGTCTCCTCTCCCTTTCTCGGTACAAGGGCGGCTCGGGTCAAACCGGTTGGGCAGTGGAGACTCCGGGTCTTTAAAACCACTTTCGCGCTAGTTGTCCCGAGGCCACTGGTGATCTGACTTTCCAACGCCTTGGAAGCTGATCTGGTTCTGGGTCCGTCCGCGCTGGAGTTGAGATCTTGGAGGAAGGGGGTTGCAGGATAAGGGGAGAGAGAGAGAATACTCTTCTATCAGCCTGTGCCCTCTTTCTCAGGGGATTCGCAGCAGAGTTGAGGATGGAAGAGGCATCGAGCCTTAGGTGGTGGCTCCGAGGAAAAAAAGTTTGGTGGTGTCTGCAGCAGAGGCTCCCGCAGTCTCTACGGAGGGGAGGGCGCTCAGGGCTCCCGGAGGTAGCCTCAGGCTGCAGGGGGTGTCGGCGAAGACAGGCCAGGACCCGGCTCGCCCGGTCGGTCGGCACAGCAGTCTGCTCTGCAGCTGCAGCCGCTCTGCCCCGCGGGTTTTGAGAAGAAGCGCGGCAGCGGCAGCGACGCGCTCTCCTGGCTGCGTTTTGTAATGGTCCCGGAGACGCTGAGACCCCTGCAGCTTGCGCTTCGAGACTATCACATGACCGAGGCTGAGGGACTCGCCGCCTCCACAGCCTAGTCTTTTGCTGAAGAAGGGGCTAGAAGGCACAGAGTCTCATCCCCGCCCCTTATCCATTTCCACTGGACACCCCGACCCTTTGCGATTACTATCCACTAGCCAGCCCAGGTTGTCTGGGGAGCGCCGTTGACCACTGAAAAGGGGTCACTGTCTAGGCGAGTCCCTGCAGCTGTGTTTCACAAGGTCTGTACCCGGAGCAAGGGGGCGGGGCACTGCTTTCTCATCCCGACTGGGTCTTTTCACCCACCCTCTCTTAGTTTCCCTGTGTGCTAGCCACTCGGCACCCAGTTTGGAGCATCATTGTCTTCAAGGCCCCTTCTCTTGGAGAAATAGAGATGCCCAGAGGGTCGTAGGTGAAAGCCAATAGAAAGAAGAGCTATGGGGCATTTTCGTCAAATGCCAACTTGATCCTGATTTTATTAGGCACGGGCCTACACATTGGCCCGGTAGGCGCACTAGGTTCAGGGAGGCACGAATTGCCCTATGAACCTTGGTTTAGAGGGCTGAAGGACAATAGGCTAGGACGCAATAGCTAGGATGCAAGAAGCTTGGAGATGGGAGGGGGAGGCTCCAATCTTTTCTGGAACACGTGGACAGAACGCTTGAGGTTTCTTTGGGCTGACGGGAGGGAGCTGAGCGGTCCCATCACCTGGTTGTGTAACTATTCTCCTTACCTGCCGGAGGAATATCATTAAGATTACCAAGAAAGCCAAGATATCATCAAACCTTCGTGTGATCTGGAAGGGAACAGTGACCGAGTCAGGGGTAAAGGTAAACCTGCTTGGTTGCTGTACTCATCCCCATAGCGTCGCGGAAATTTCTACTCCTTTTCAAAGAACCTGAAGTCTTCTTCTGGCTTGGCTCACGTTTGCTCTCATGCTGGTAGAGAAAGCAGCATTTAGAAGCAAGCAATCTCACTATTCCTGTCTCAGGGCCTCAGTCTCAGGATTGTTTCTGAAGTTGGAAAATTTAAGGGTTCTTTCCAGTTCCCTCCCTTGAAAAGAGCAGTTAATGGCGAAGGCTCCCTCAGATCTGAATTCCTCTCCTAAGCATAAACTCAGAGGCAGACGTCTTTGGTTCAGGGGCGAGAAAGGTGGACTCTAACCTGTAATCTTGGCTACACGTCCAAGGAAAGCTTCTGGGTTTTTGGTAAGTGGTAAAATTGGGGTGTGTGTCCCTGGGTGACCTCTTGGCAGAGATGCTGGAGTGAGGCGAGTAGGGTTCCTTTCTCCGTTTTGAGCCTTCACCGAAATGTCTAGCCCCTGCTATTTGGCCAGTTTGTCCTCTTAGGATAGGACCTACCCTGTCCGATAGGTGGTAAGATCAAACGTGTAAGGCGGTGGGGGCGGTGAGGGCAGCGGAAGAGAGGATGCAGCGGTGCTTTCGCCTGGCCTAAGAAGCAAGAAGAAGCCCTCACTGCCACTTCACGTCAGGAACTTTTCTCGCGCCAAAAGAATCACTGCGAGGCTTTTCATTAACTGAGGCAGTTTGAGGAGCTCAGAGGAATTCCCAGGGCGTCCCCATTTACAGTGACAGCCAAATCGGCGGGAGGTGGGTCACTCCTACTCCTGTCCACCCGCGCAGGCTGGGGTCTACCCACTCTTGTCAGGCAAACGACGTCTTTTGCTGATGCTTCGCTAGGGCATCTCTTCTGTTGGATCCGGGACCCGCGGCGCCTCTTTTCTGGGACCAGTCAAGGATGTTTTCTTCCCTGGGCAAGTGGCCTGCGGGGCATCTGGGAACCCAATGGGTGGAAGAGCTCTTTCAGGGCGAGAGGGGCAAACCCAGCCTGCAAGGTGGACCCTGAACCTTACAGTTTCAAGGCCGACTCTCCTTAGAGCTGGGCAACCCGCCGCTGCCACCTAGAGTTAGTCGCCAAGGGGCGCGAGACGGGTGGTCTATGTCTCCAGCTTGGGCCAGGCAACCCGGAAGGCGGCCAGCACTGTGCAACGTTAGATCAGCAAGACATAGCAGCGAAGGCGGAACGCTGCGACGGGGACCACAAGCCATCGCGTTCAGTATGGATTTTAGCAAGGGAAGAGAATGCTGCCCACCACCGCTGCTCCAACTGGCCCACGCGAACACGAGAGCTGTCCAGGAGCCACGCGCGGGACGGTTTGGACCCAGGAGGGCGGGCCGCCAACGCCATACAGAATCCTCCGGGATTTGCAGGAGTGGTGCCTAGCATCGCCACACAACCTGGGCGGTTGTGATAGGGCCTGTTTGCTCTCCCGGTCTCCTCAGGTTGATTTAATTCAGGCAAGTTGTGTAGGCTTGTAGTGGCTGCAGTAGCAGCAGCAGCCGGGGCTGGAATGTGCGTTCTCCAGCTGCCTGCAAACCCGGTTTCAGAAAATCATCTTTTGTAACCGCCTCAGCACCAAAACGGTTGGATTTAAGTTTCCTGGTGTAATCTCCACCCTACTCCTCACTCCATCCCACTCCACGCCGCTCATAAACAGCTACACAATCCGGACGCCCGCAGTCACTGTCTGTTATCTCAGGCGTATTTGGTTTACCCTTTAAGCAATTATTGGTGACGCTTTGCTGTGACCCGGAGTTCCAAGCCAGACTTTATCGCAATACTCTGGCTGTTTGGATGGTTGTCTTTCTAAAACCTGCAGAAAAAGATGTGGCTGTCCAGGAGCGGCTGTTTGTTCAGTTCTCTCTCCTCTACGACCCTAGACTCTAGTCTCGGGGTCTTACAGACTCCGTTAGCCTAGTCCTACGAGAATCCTCCAGGCTGCCGAGCCCCTCCAAGCACGCAAAGAGTGATGAGGAGAGCAGGGTGTGGGCAGGGCTAGAGCAATATGCAGGCTTAGCATCAACGCAAAGGGTCCAGACCATATCTCGATTTTCATGGGACCCCTATTTTACTCAGACATTTGAAGCGTGGAAATCACTTTCGTTAGTCTTGTTTGGGGTCTTTCCAGGAGTCATTCTGGCCACTCCACCCTGCCTCCAGTTTGACCCCTGAGACTCCCTGGCATATTCTTTTCCTAACCACGTGTCCGGAGTGGATGTAAAGTGGGAGAAACCGGTCCCCAGCGCCAGCTGCGTAGCTCCCAGTGGCAACTCTCGAGGCCACAAGCAGGATGACCCTAGAGACGTCATTTCCTTTCTTTGCTCTCTATTTTCTTTTCAGGAAATAGAGGTCAGAAATACGCTGCCAAAGGTCTGACGCTCCACAGAGCTAAAGGTTGGAGCTGTGATACCTACTCAGATTTGGTGTCTGAACACTCTGAACTGAGGCCTGAGGACCTGTGTTCGGTTAGCACGGCTATTCCACAGTTCCGTATGCAGTGTCCTAGGAATCTACGTCCTCCGCTGTTCCCAACCCAGCCAGCAGCCTCGCGAGGGCAGGGCATCCCTCCCCACAAGGTTTCCCACCACCAGGAAAAAGCAGGTTAAGCAGGTATCGAGGGCACAGGTGCTCCTGCCAGACCAACTTGGATTTCTGAGAAGCTCGTTTGCATTTCCTGAAATTCTGGGACCTCCTGGGGAGAGAGGACCGGAGTCAGACCACACAGCTCAGGGGAATTATTTGAGGGAGAGACAGAGAGAGACAGAGAGAGAGAGAGAGAGAGAGAGAGAGAGAGAGAGAGAGAGAGAGA